TACTTTCTTTTACTTTGATGTTCCTCCTCCCCTCCTTGAAGCCCGAAGTCAGCTAAAAGACTAATGATAGCCATCAAATCGCCTTCTATTTGCAATAAATAAATATATCAACAAAGACTATAATTGATGGTTAGTTCAGTGGAATGCACAATGCTACTATTTCTAAACAAAGAAATCTCATTTTTTCGTGAATACAGAGATCTCTCAATGCAACAGAAATCAATAGTTGCTGCAATTATTCATAAATTGAACGGCATGATTGAAGTGCGCTTTTACCATGCTGTTTTTCGGGAAGCTTCCATTTGGATGACTCATATACTATATCATTGCTGCGTCTACAAGCCTACTCGTATCGATGGGGATCACGAGGTAAGGTCAAAGTTCCAGTGTCGAGGTCACAAAGTGTAATCTTACGCGTACTTACTAGGGGTGATGATGGTGAGACTCGCATGCCAATATTCACCACGTGTGCATTAACAAGATCGGAAAATCGCGTGCATATAGTTGTGCAAATATTAATCTAATGTCAATCAATAGCACTTATTTCTATTTTATCATTAATTTTTCCAATATATATATATGTCAAAATAATGAAATTAACTGAGTTATTTTTTAACAAAATATTGATTTAAGGCCTAAACAGCCAGGTTAGATTAGAAAAAAAATAAAGCGTATTCTGAAAGAAAAACGAGTGTGTCCACCAAAAATCGATTTGAAATCTCGGTAAAGTTGTTGAAGTAGCAGATACGCTAAAATTTATTTATTTATTTCAAATGGCAGGCGTTATGATAGGTATCATTAGCCCTTTAGTTGACTTCAGGCTTCACAGAAAGGGAGATGAACATCAAAGTGGCAAAACGTTGAGAGGGGGACAGAATAATGATTCACAGACGTAAAAGAGACAGACAGACACAAAGGTAGAAAAAGGTGAGGTGAGTACTGTGAATTATTCGAATATGAAATGCAGTGGGGTCTTGGTAGTTTGAAGTCAAAAGTCAACTGCCGAATAATAGACTTTTTTGCCGTATGAGTATACGTTGCCCAGGGTGCACCACGTGGAGGTAAGTCTATCGCACACCCCATTATTTGAAGCAATGATCATGAATTGGACGAGGTGTGTGTGGTAGACTTACCTCCAAGTGCTGCACCCTGGACAACGTATACTCATACAGCAAAAAGGTCCATAAACCGGCAGTTGACCACTCGCTTCAAATTACTATGACCCCACTGTACGTCATATTCGATTACGTCCACAGTACTCACCTGTCTGTCTCTTACATCTGTGAATCACTCTTCTGTTCCCCCCCCCTTCTCAACTTTTTGTCACTTTGATGTTCCTTCCCCTCTGTGAATCCTGAAGTCAACTAAAGGGCTAATGATAACTACCAAAACGCCTGCCATTTAAAGTAAATAAATAAATAAATGATAAATTAGGCATGGGATTTAGAAAATGGAACTCGGAAATGTTTCATTAACAGAATCTGAGTGGCCTTTATGGGGCCCTTGGTAGTCTCCAATTCGGTAAAAAAGGAGGACTTCGTGGCCCATAATTATAATTGGAAGCAATTGTAACTGAATGTCCTCAATGAAAATCTCGCATTCCCTGGATCGACCGGATTCGCAAGCCATTTGTTCGGTGAAACATTGACCGTCTTAAAAAGAGACTTTGTTAGGAGGAAAAATGCACATTTTTGCAAACATAAACAGATTAAGTTCAAATTGTGGGAACGGTATTTGTTTCTCGTACGCCACATTTTCCGACTTCTATTTCTCCGTTCTAATACCCGGGTAGGAATTTTCCTTCGAGTGTACTTCCAGATGAACATATAATCAAACGCTAAGGCAACGGATACTTTAACTATATTTGATATTTGTGGAGACCACAACCCTGTCGTGGCTGAATAAAGAAATCTCATGCGCATTCAGACAGACTCGAAGGCCCGACTGCGGTACTTTGTCGCGTAAGGGGTAAGTGCGAATGCGTCCTTGCATTGTTGTATTTTAATAACAATGGTCTGTGGCAGACATTCGACTCAACTAAACTTACTCCGTGTGGGACACGTTATCGCTTTGTGCGTCATCGCATGTTTGCACGCTAGGATTGGGAGGTGCGGCCGTACAAACAGTGACCAATCATTAACCTCTGTTTGTTTAACCTAATCCGCCATCGTGATCATAATTAAGCTCCTGCGTGTACACTTTATCCGCAATATACGTACTGAATAAATGTGCTCCGCGCTACACGTCTGTTTCCTTTATAGCTGGGCTATAGCTTAGGCAACACGTCTGTTTCCTTTATAGCTGGGCTATAGCTTAGCTGAATTATACGTCTGTTTTCTTTATAGCTGGGCTATAGCTTAGCTAGTTCGGGAGTCTAGCTAGATGTAGGAGAATCTGCCAGAGATTTCTCGGGAGTCTAGCTAGATGTTGGAGAATCTGCCATAGAGACTTGATTTCTTTATAGCTGGGCTATAGCTTAGCTGGTTCTGGGAGATCCTTTCATAGCTGGGCTATAGCTTAGCTGGTTCTGGGAGTCTTTCATAGCTGGGCTATAGCTTAGCTGGTTCTGGGAGTCAGCCTATAGCTGGGCTATAGCTTAGCTTATTCTGGGAGTCTAGCGTAGCTGGGGTATAGCTTAGCTGGTTCTGGGAGTCTAGCTAGATGTGGGCTATAGCTTAGTTGGTTCTGGGAGTCTAGCTAGATGAGTTTCCCTTATAGCTAGGCTATAGCTTAGCTTGTTCTGGGAGTCTAGCTAGATGTAGGAAATCTTGCCATCGAGATTTCTGAGTCAGTCAGGCTTTACTAAGGTGTTTAGCTGGTTCTGGGAGTCTAGCTAGATGTAGGAGGATCTCCCATTGAGATTTCTGAGTCAGTCAGGCTTTACTAGCGTAGCCAGAGATTTCTGAGTTAGTCAGGCTTTACTAGAGTAGCAATATTTCTGAGTCAGTCAGGCTTTACTAGCGTAGCAATCCGTGGAGCTATAGCTTAGCTGGTTCTGGGAGTCTAGCTAGATGTACGAGAATCTGCCACAGAGATTTCTGAGTCAGTCAAACTTTACTAGCATAGCAATCCGCTACATCCACTTCATACGTCCTGGGAACCATTCCAACCCTGGAGATCTTGCTAATGAGAATACTGAGAATAAACCAACGCTACACATTTTTACAGGTTTTGTAAAAAAGGAATGTCTATCTTTAAACCTACTCGCCTTAATCACTGTAAATATCTTTTTTGTATTGTTGCTAATTTTGCAAATTTGACTAAATTGACTAATTTTAGAGATTCCACGTCCAAGTCTCACAGGAATTGCATATTTCAAGACTCAAATTTCCATAATAAATCAATTTCAATCGGGTGATGGCTAACGTTAAAAAAAACATACTCATTAAATGCATTAAGTCTTTTAAAAATTGATCTACATCAATTACAGGGTCAAGCCAGAATGCCTGCGTTTAATATTCAGTTAAATTTTATGCAGGTTATCGTTTCAAATATTCGTAGGCTCAGAGTTCAAGATCATGTTTAGACTATGCAATTTCAAAAAGTACTGCGAAACCACTGCGCGATTTTGGCCTAACAAAGAGTGATTATTTTCATCAGTTTGTATAAACAAGTTATATCCTGCACCACAATGGTTTCTTATAAACCCCCTAAACTTCGCTTCACCAATATGGCTCAGATGAAAGCCCACCTCGACGGAGAATAGACTATTTAAATTGGCACTTTGAATTCGTGAAGGCATGTAAATAAACAAGTGGGCACTTGTGGAGTACATAAGGTGTGTCGCATGCACACACTCACACACACGAACGCTCGGGAGCGTGTGGCCGTGGCTTCTATTCGCGTTAAGGAGCGAACGAGGTGGCTGGTACATAGACCTCCCAGCCACACAACAACCAATAGTCTCTTTACAGGGTCTGCCAACACCAAAACCGTACTTACCGACTTAGCTCCGTGTGTGTCAGTACGGTGCCAGTCCAATTCGAATAAATGCTCTTCACGTCATATGTTCCACGTCCTCGAGAGTGTTGAGGTGGCTTAACCAATTTCAGAGCAATTTCATTTGAAAGGATTTTGGCCATGAAGATTGATGAGGTTTAATCAGGGCTCATTTGTGTAGCTTTCCGTTGCACACTGCAAAATGCCTCAATATTTTGTTCGATAGATATTTATGTGGGAGTGAGATATTAAAAAAATATATTTCTGTTCAACAACTCTACTTAAAATTCCAGAAATTCATGTCAAATTATATCCATAGGGCGATAGCCTTAAATGGACCAATCGGGAGAGAGAGAGAATAAAACGAGGTACTGACTACGTGACTTCCCCCCCTCCCCCACCACCACCACAGCACGTCTTCAGAAATTGTGCCAACGTTTTTTTTTTTAAAGATTAATCACGTTCTACTAAGATTTTGTGACATCTCCGATATCCACCCATCCAGACAGTGTCAGCAGTGCTAAAGGTTGCTCATTTTGAGGTGACACCATAACTATAATATTATTTTAAGTTATATTAAATCGCTCTTAGTTTTCATATTTGTAAAACAGCAAATCGCGAAGGGGTGCCGTAGATTCAAACAATGACAAATTCTCCATTCCCACACACTCCACGCATAGGCAAAAATTTAGTGAGTCAGTGGATTGATCGATCGATCACCGCAGTGTCGCAGCGAAGTCTGTACTGCATGAGCTAAAGGAAATTAGGCGGAAATACTCCAAGGTATTACTTAGTGCATTAGAAACTGAAGATAATATCGGATGAGATTGCTAACACCAGCAAATTCAAGCTAACAACTTTTCTCAATTAAGCATTTTAGATCCTATAAATAAGCAAGGATGTTCTCGAGCCAAAACAAGATGCTAATTACATTGTGAATAAAATTGTTTAATTGTCGTGAAGACGGAGACAAGGGGAATAAAGGAAAGAAAAAGAAGACAGGAAAAGTATTAAAGTGCGGAGACAACAGATACTAAGAAGACCAACTGTGGACATTCTGTTTACTTCCTTGCGTTGATAATTTTGACAAAATCTGGTTTTAAAGAGGCACCACCAACGAGAAAACCGTCAACATCATGTTGAGAGCCGAGTTCTTTGGCATTGTCCGCGGTAACTGAGCCACCATAGAGAATTCTAACCTTGTCGGCAACATCAGGTGAAACGTGCGTTTTTATCCAAGCACGGACATCCTTATGGACTTCTTGGGCTTGAGCTGGGGTGGCCGTCTTGCCA